TTGGAAATAATTCGGCGTCCGGTCTGACAAGCAGCTCCCCAAACCCCGTCGTAATCCGTTGACGGCTGGGACAACTGAAATTGGGACCCACCAATGTTCAGAAAATTTTGTCATTTATTCGCCGGTCTTCCCTGTTCGTTTAACAGAAGGAATGCACAGATTATTCTTCTTTAGCCTATATGGAATAATGAATATCCGCATTCAATATATTTTTTGTAAATATAGTAATATTATTTTATCACATACATTTCCTAGAATATGTGTCATCAATAAATTGGTAATTAATAAAAAGATGCTGAATATAAATAGCCTTATAATAGTATATAAATAGAAAGCAAAAAATAAAAATAAAAATTATTATTTATTATTATTACTAATATTATTTTGGTAATAACTTTGTTAAGAAACGAAAAACAATTTATTTCCTTAAGTTTTTTTCTTATTGAAAATATGTTCTGAATTAACTTTCATGGTTTTTAATTTAAAAGCAGCTATGACTTACTGAACTCCAAAACAATCACAATGAATTAAAGATGTATTATCTTTCTTTAAAATATTTCTTAAAAGTGGACGTTTGGAAAAATAAATTCTCCAACATTTGTTCTTAGAACTGTGAAAATTCAAATTCGTTTTAGAACACGTGAGGTAGATGACATTCACTCTACGAGAGTCCCGTTGTGTAACGCAATAAAACGTATGTTTTCGTCTTAATTGCGTTCAGTAAACAAATGTTGGAACCCAAAGAAGTGACCATTTGACTAACATCCTGATTATTCCAAGTTATACAAATGATCCAGGTACAATTTCGGCTCCCTAGTACTTTTGGAAAAAGAACAGCATGGCCAAACGGTTTCGTGGAGATCTGGTGAGACATGAATAGCCCTGCCCTATGTTCATTATTAATCTATTCATATATTAATTTTATTTTAGCATTACTTAATGAATATTATTGATGGAAATACTAAGTAAAATATCACATTCACTTAATAGGAAGTTTATAATTTTTGAGCAATGTATATTTTGAAAAATGATATTTTCAGGAATTAACTTCTCTATATAAAACAGACACACCTAACGTTACGCGAAAGCTAGTCTCCGAGAAAGAGGTCGCTCGCCAATAAATATTTGTTAATCACGTGTTGCGTTGTGGGATAATATTTTTTATGTTCTTGGTGTGTAAAGAACTGCTGTACTGTATGCATACTACAATATGTTATTGCACAATTCGAAAAGACTGTATCTGTTAAAATATTCTACGTGATGCGGCGTTACACGAGAGGATTTTATTTGTTATTCTTGAGCGAGTTGCGTTTTGGAAACCTATTTTCTGTGGTTTTATTAAGCAACATTTTTTCTGCTTCAGCCCAATAGTCTTTATTATAATTTTTCAATACGAGCAGAAGTTGGCCTAAAACTTCAGCCATCGGACGTTTGAAAGGCATCTATGGTTTTGTTAGATACTTAGGAGCTCGGTAAAATCCAAAGACGAGTTTCGATTTTGACTGAATAATGCAAATATTTGATTGTGTTATTCTGCCTATTCTCGTACTGTGAACATCGATTGCATTGTCGTCATCAGTGCGTCACTATTTACGACACAACTGATGTCACGGGACAGCAAGGCTTTAAGGAAGAGGCCGCGCGCCATTAAATACTTGGTATTCACGTGCTGCTTTGAAACAGCAATCGTTTGGATTTCTTATATGAATTTTAGGAAGAACTGTTGTACTATGTATTCGTAAATACTATACCTTGGTAGTGAAGTATTCGTTAAAAACTGTTTTTTTTAAATATTTAAATACCTTATAAATATTCTTTGCGTTGTCAAAACGTAATTTATAACTATTATATTATGCTTAGCAGTAGTGGATCTGCGAAGGTAGTTAACATTAGAGGCCGGAAACGTATTCCCGCGTAACTGTTTCACTAACTACCCCGATGGAAGTCAAATCGGTCAGGGGCTCTTATCTCCTTCAGGCTGTTCCAATAGTTGCTGTCTTGGAAGCTCAAGTGGTCAGAGCCACAGGGAATGTCCCGGGGAGATTCGGGCACGATTTCCTTTCAGGTCAGTCAATTATCTGAACAATCAGAATGTAATTTATAAAGTATTTAATTTATTGCAAGTTATATGATAGTATTTTATTTCTTGTTCGTGTGAAGTGTACGTGCTCCTTTTTGAAAACCCTTTTGTTATTTTGATTTACATACCACGCAGAAGTAGTGCATATTTTTGATAATTAACTTTATTTCGAGAAATTATTCTATTAAAACAACTAAAGACATTTATGGATTTACGAATGTAAGCAATAGATAAATATGTAATCATTATGGAACTTTTTGATCTATTACAGTTTCAATGCAATGGTTGTAATGCACAGTATCTTGTACAGTGCATTTACAAACACATATTGTACACTTATTTTACGATACGTTCAACCAACGCATTTAGCAATATACTAGTACAACTTACTGATTGTATTATAACGAGATGTGTATTTATAAAATAATTCTTTTATTTAATATTATTTAAGGTGTTGATAACACATTTGTTAGATTGCAAGGAAACCATGATTATACCAACATTTAATCCTACAAAAGTGAAGAATGTATAATAGAAGACCGAAGACTTGGAAACTTAAAAAAAATGATCTAATTTAATTCAACATACTAAAATCTAACATTATGAAAAATACTCAATTTTCAAAAAAAAAATGTTATTTATTTCCACAACACAGTAATTTTAAAATGTAGAATCAACTTGGAA